TAATAATGCTATTTTTCATAAACTAATATTTTTTCCAGGTTGTGAATTTGTGAAAGAAATTTATATTTTACTGAACTGGTTTTCAATGACCATAGTGTGCAAGTCATTTAGACAATTATTGAATCAGGAAGCATGGAAGAAAATCACAATGAAATTGTAGTAAAGTAACTAATATTTTATTAGGCATTCATTCTATGTTCTGTCAAATAGTTTTGAAATACGATCATTAAATTTTTCAAAGCAGATATAGAGTTAGGGATTATTATTCACTATGCAGAAAAACTAAGCCTGCAATGGAGTTTGTCACTTACAAAGTGAAGGTCAGAGTTGCACCTAAATATCCTGAACATCAGCTCCTATGTCAAATAGATTATTTTATCTGGACCTGGGTGTAGGCAAACAACATGAAAACATATCTCACATAAATCCAAAGTATCATTAAAATGTATATTAAGTGAGTCTGAAACAATGAATATAGGCAGACTTTCTCTGAAAGAACAAACCTAGTCAACACTGCTAAGTTGGTATGCACTGACAAAATCAGAGGAGCTCACATTCTTGTCTTTATGCAGTGTTGCTATAAAAGTAAATTCTCATCAAGTTCTGAAGTTTGCAGTGGAATGTACAAAAACTGCATCTCCAGCTTCCCAAATTTATCTGCCTGCCATTTGGGCAAATATATGTGTGTTTGGTCATGACAGCTTGACAACTGGCAGATAGCTCTTGAACATCACGTTCATTTCCATTTAATCCTGGCAAATTTCTCAATTAGAATTTTACTTCTCACTTTCTGCACAATGAAATCCCTCAGTCCTTGCTGGCATTCCTCAGGGCATCCAGGTGCAGGTGCTGGCATTTTTGCAGTAGCAAAGGAAGAAAAGTAAAAGGAGGAAAAGGGGGAGAGAGGAGACAGCCTGAGAGAGGGTAGTTGTAATAGGGAGAAAAGGGAGACAGTAGCTGACCTTCATCCTGATATTCACCTTCATGGAAAATGAAGGGAATAATTCATACTTGACAATAAAATAGCACAGCTGCCTTGCTTCCTTGAACAAAAGATGCTGGAGTCAAGCAAAAGTCAGACACCCCATGCTTAAGATCAATGCAGGACCGAAGGCACAAAGATACAGAGGGGAACAGATTAATAAAATAATTTTCAAAGCAGAAACAACAACCAACCATGGAAGATACGTTTACTTTATAGCCTTCCTTCCACCCTTCCACCTGTATTTTATCATCCAATTTTCACACAATGATAGGAAGGTAGGAATTATTATCTTTTCATGATGGCTAAGGAAATGAGGCAATAACATAACATCCCCACACTTTAAATTCAAGCAGATCATAGCAAATGCAATAAAGATTCAAGGCGACACTATGATTTCAATATAATCTCTGGTTTTTGGAAGACAAGTCACAGCCTAAGGTTTTAACAAATTTATATGTACATGTATGTATATATGTATATATTTCATATACATATAAACTTACAGGCACACATAACCATTTACATCTGTAGCTACCAATATGTTTTTAAAGCTTTTTGTTAAGTGGAATGGTTTGACATTTGCAGAAGTCTTCCAATGTATTTATCATGCATATGACTTAAATATACAGCAAAAGGAATCTCTGACACATTTACCATCAACAGGTCGACTTGCTATTAAAATGGAGGAAATACCATTATAATGAGACAAAAATAGAAACTTCACTGTTCCTCATTAATTAGTAATTTGGGTAAAGTTTGCTACATGTACTAATGGTGACAATAATTCTTTAGAATCAAATTATTGCAATCTGGGTAAGAAGGATGAAATAAAAAATTCATTGACTTAAATGATCTGATGAAAGAAAGAAGGAAGAAAGGAAGCTAGGAAAGAAGGAAGGAAGGAAGGAAGGAAGGAAGGAAGGAAGGAAGGAAGGAAGGAAGGAAGGAAGGAAGGAAGGAAGGAAGGAAGGAAGGAAAGGCAAAAATAGAGAATGGAAAAAGATATAGTGTTTCTCTGGGTGGGGTTGTACATTAGAAGCTAAAAGAACAAAGATGGAGGTGGCTTGCTTATTTTGTGTGTTTCTTTTCTTATGGTGTTGCCAAAGGTGGAGAGATAGTTTCTTGCTAGGAAATCATAATAAAAGTCTCTCTAGAAAAGTGTCATTACAGTCAGCCATTGAGGAGCAATTCAGTTTCCATAAGCTGAAGAAAAAATAGAAATCCTTGCACAAGAGGTAAATAAAGTGGTATTCTGGCAGGAGAAATATATAGATAGGATATGAACAGCTGAAATCACATCTGAGTTTGCTGCTGCAGCGGATGTACCTACCAAAGTCACTTTATATGTTGGTAAGAAAAAGATATAAAAAGAAGTCAAGCTAACACATATCTCCCCTACCTCTGCCCCAGCTTAAACCTACAAATATTTATTCTAAGTCAAGCAAACATCTAGAAAATATAAGGAAATCTTTTCTCCATGATACATACATGTATATGTTAAGAAAATAACAAGATAAGAATTGAGTATGTTATTGTTTAGGTTGCAGAGATTACCCAGTGGGAGACATGAGGAGCTGATGACCAAAGAGTGATCATGAGATGCTACAGAGACTTGACAGCGAGAAAAAAAGCAATCATGTCTCTTATATTATCAATATGGGATTTCATAATGGACTGGGATCTCTGACAAAAGGGTAGAAGTGAATGGACAGGGAAAAAAAAAGAGTTTACTTAGGAAAACCAATAGATTTAAGGTTAGAGTTTGCGCTTTCTATGGAATTTCCAGGTTAAAAAGATTCAAACAGACTGGGCAACAATGGCTCAATACCTGTAATCCTAGCTACTCAGGGGGCTGAGATCTGAGGATCATGGTTCAAAGCCAGCCCAGGCAAGGAAAGTCCTTGAGATTCTGATCTCCAATAAACCCCTAGAAATCCGGAAGTGGCAATTTGGCTCAAATGATAGCATGTTCACTTTGAGCTGAAGAGCTCAGGGACAGTGCCCAAGCCCAGAATTCGAGCCCCACAACCAACCGACCAATAAATAAATAAGTAAAGATTCATACCATCAAGAACACCATCTATGTCTGGTACTGGTGGCTCAAGCCTGTAATCCTAGTTACTCAAGAGGCTGAGATGTGAAGATCATGATCCCTGAGACACTTATCTCCAATACACTACTCAGAAAAAGCCATAAATGGCTCTGTGGTGCCAGTAGTAGAGTGGTAGCCTTGAGAAATGAAGCTCAGAGACAGTGCCCAGGCCCTAAGTTCAAGCTTCAGGACCAACACAGACAAAAGAAAAATGCCATCCACAGAGTACACATGGCTGAACATGGATTGACCAAGTTAGAGAATGGAAGGGAAGAGGGAAAAGCTGAAAGAAAATAAAGGAAAAATCGTGAAGGAGAAGGAGGGAAAGAAGAGAAGCCTAGAAAAACAGGAAAGGAAAATAACTGTGAGAAACAAAACACTCATAAACTGTGACAAAATGAGAGAATCACATTCAAAGATCATGACTTTTTGTAGAAGCAGATGTGATCCAGAGGGGATCAAACCTCATTGCTGATATAAATTAAAATGCTAAGAACACATGGGATAGGGAAAGGAAATTCTGTGTCATGTCTGATAATGGGCACCACATTGAGCCTTGAAAACTCCAATCAATACTTTGCTTTTATTTTAATCTACAATAAAGTTTTAAGGGATTTTTCACCCCACATATTTCTTCTTGGCGTTCTTCCCTATAAGTACTTGTAATTTTCCTGAGAAGTTTGAATAGGACTCTTGATAGGGATTTTCTTGGCAGATAATTTAATGTCAGATGTAAGGTCTTGAGGCAATGAATAGACATGTTTTTATCTTATCCTGGCCTTCAGTTTATATCTTCAAGTGTCAGCATGCTCACACACTTCTAATGTGTATAACTATGTTCATGTATCTTAAAGCCAACTACTTATATAAAAATTATTTTTATGTTATCCTCTGAATCTAGCATCCCTACTTTCATCAGACCAGGAAAACCTTTAGAATCATTCCTTTGATCATATAATGTTTGGGGTATAGCTTTCTCTATATCAAGGTTGGAGCTTGGGGATGAACAAACAGATCCAAGAATGAAAGAACAAGATTAAAACATTTAGAGATATGTATTGCTTTCTCAGAAATGGAAAAGATTAGTTGATGACTCAAAAAATGTGAGACTGGACACATGGTACTAATGGCTCATGCCTAGCTACCCAGGAGGCTGAGATCTGAGGAGCATGCTTCTAAGCCAGCCTGGGCAGAAAAGTTCCCATGACACTCATCTCCAATGAACCACTCCAAAACCAGAAATGGTGCTGTGGTAGAGCACTAGCCTTGAGCAGGAAGGGATTCAGGGACATTGCCCAGCCCCTGAGTTCAATCCCCACACTGACAAAAGGAAAAAAGTGGAATTGGGTTAGTAATGATAGGCTCTGAAGAACTGTTCTGAAAAGAAAATGTGCCCCCCCATCAGAAGTGTCATTGGTAATATGAACTGTAGAATCCACTGGAGGCTCAGCCTACCAGCTAAATCCAACATCTAACTGACAGCAGACCTAAATGGTTTCCCACGTCTATTATGTACCACATCTGTATGAATATATACAAACAAATAATTAAACATGAAGCAAATATCAATAGGATTAGCTTGGCATGTTGGAACAAATCTTGATAATTCTGTCTCAGCAACAATACTCAAAGTACAAGTCTATGAGAGGAATACAAATTTTGCCTATTGAAGTACTGTCATGTAAGGAGAGATATTTTAATAAAAACTGCTTCTCTGTCAGGTCCTATTACTAAGGGACTAAAGCTATTGAGCTGTGGAACTTAAGCCAAAAAGGAGGATTTGGAAATGCAAATGTGAGATAAAACTGTAAAAAAAAAAATAAGTCTTTTATTCAACAAGCACCATTGCCCATTCTTGAAGCCATGAGCTATTTATTGCAAAGATGAGTCTTAACAATTCGATGAAATTGAAAGCATACATACCTAAAATGGACATCTCTGGAACAGTAGCATGATAGGGTCCATTAAGAAACTCTGGTGCATTGTCGTTGATGTCTTGAACTTTAATAATAAATTCAGAAGGTGGCTCAAGAGGTTTGTTTGTCTCCCAGTCCACAGCCTGAGCTGTTAAAGTGTACTCAGCCTTTTCCTCTCTGTCAAGTCTTTTTATAGCATGGATATCTCCAGTTGCATCATTTATTTGAAAGATTGTCCCAGCTCCATCACCTGACAGGATATACTTGATTTTTTTACTTCCAGGATCCAGGTCTGTGTGTAGCTAAAATTAAAAAAAAATGGCATTAATTAGTGATGGAGAAATCTGCAAAGCTGTTGTTTATTTGTTTCCTGTTTGACCATTAAATTGATTTCTTTCCACAATGTATCATGAGTTTTCTTTAAGCATAGATGTAAGAAATAGTCTATGCAGTCATTCCAAAAATAAAATATAGTGAACTTCATAGTAATAGTAATAATAATAATAATAATAAGCCAAAACATTCTTAAGAAAGTGCTCTGATTTATGGAAAATTGACACAGTATCAGAATGAAGACAAAGTCAACAGAAAGCTACCAAGAAATGTGAATTCATTTTCAACTTACCAACATGTGCACTGAATATTGTCCTTATTAGCTACTTGGGAATTACTAGGCAGTGACCAGACTAGATATTTCAGTGATTGTGTGTGTGTGTGTGTGTGTGTGTGTGTGTGTGTGTGTGTGTGTGTGTGTTGGTTCTGGGGCTTAAACTCAAGGTCAGGCTCTGTCCCAAAGCTTCAGTTTTGCTCAAGGCTAGTGCTGTACCTCTTGAGCCACAGCTCCACTTCCAGTTTTTGGGTGATTAATTGGAGATAATTATCTCATAGACATTCCTATCTTGACTGACTTGGAAACAAGATCTTCAGATCCTAAATAGAATGACAGGCATGAGCCATGACTTATTATATACAATCATTTACTTACACACAAACAAAAATGGTATTCTAACAATCAGATTTATAATAAAGTCTTCTTATTTTGGTTTGTTTTGGGGTTTTTTTGCTTGTACTAGGGGTTCTTGGACTCTATCACATTATTCATGCCCTCTTCCCTATTATCTGCTTGGTATTCTGATGATGCAGTCTCCCGTTCTTTTCTACCTATATTGTCTTTGAACAGTGATCCTCATAATCTCAGCCTCCTGGATAGCTATGATTATGGCATGAACTATAAGTATCCTGACAAATCTTCTAAATTATTTAAGGCTTTATTAAAAATTTTATTTAATTCTTAAAAATATTATTTAATTCTTAAAATTCTTCTGACCCAGGAAAATAATTCCATTTGAGAGAAAAGAGCATTCAGGCCAAAATATAGGAGCATATTTAGTAAAATTAGAATTCTCTGGAAACTGATAACTTTTCAATGAGTATCGAACTCCATCTCAGGTGACAGCAAAAATATTTATAGATTAAATATTTACTGAATGTGTGTATTTGGCAAACATTCTATATGAGATGTGTGGTCAAGATCTGGGATAAATATAATCCCTACTTTTATAATTCTCAAGAGGGAGAGAACTACGTTGTGACTCTCACATTTTAAGAATAAAATAAGAATATAAAATGTGTAGGTTCCATTTCATGAAACACAGTTCAAGTGTACATAGTATGAGTTTAACTCAGTTATTTAGCTGCCAATATACTTCTAGTTACTGCTTAAATATTTATCCCTCAAAAGAAAAAAAAAGTATAACTATCTTTTAGAAAGAAACTCCTAGAAATTCTAACAGCATTGTGTTCCCTTGGGATCCATTTGATTCAGAAGAGTCTCTATTGTTTTCTTCCCCAATTTGAATTATATTTAGTGCTTCAATAAGCGAAAAGAAAAGATTATAAAAAAGACATAAAATAACAACAAAGAATCCAAATGCATCTAGATCTCCTCTTCTGAATATTTTTAAAAAATGGAATGCAAAGATTACATCAAATATTTATTGAATCTTGAAATGTACCCTTTTCATTTATTGAACTAAATTTATGAACAAGAACAAATATTGAAATGCCACTTTATCTTAATGAATGTGAGATTATAATTCATTAATATGATATTAATCCCAAATTAGGATCATTTTAATTTATGTGCATTTTAACATTTCCATTAGCATTTTTATTAAAAAAAGAGTAAATTTGAATAATATATAATTCAATGGAGGCTTCCTTTCACATGCAAGTCATTGTGCAGACAGCGAAAACATTGGCATGTGCTACACTTGCCCATAATTTTAATAACAAATAAAACACTCAAATTGGTCTTATTGTTAGAATTTATTTGTGCCCTATTTCCTTTCCAATTACCAATAACTTCTGATTTGTAAATTGCATTATCACCTCAGCTTTCAACAAATATTTTCTTTTAAAAATAAGTATGGGGAAAGAATTAAAAAGTATAGATAAGGTTAGGCAGGGTGGTTCGTAACTGTAACCTTAGGTACTCAATAGGTTGAGATCTGAAGATCACAGTCTGAAGCCAGACCATGCAAAAATGTTGGGGAAATTTGTCTCCAGCTAACCAAGAAAAAAGAGGAACTGAAAGTTAGGCTTAAGTGGAATGGTGTTTCCTGTGAGTGAAAAAGCTAAGCAAGAACTTGAGGGCCTGAGTTCAAGCCCTGGTCTTGACAAAGACTAACTAACTAACTAACTAAATATGCATGGATATTTTTGAAATAATAAATCACAAAGTTACGATTCAGCTCTAACGATACAAATAAGAGAACATATAATTTGTTTAAGCTTCAGGTCCTTGGCCTTGTTTTGGGGGATGAAACGTTCACCCTGCACAACTGACTCTAGAATCTGAGACAATCCATTTACTTAAAAAAAATTTAAATGGGAGTGACAAAAATTAAGTGTCACAAGTAAAACCATTTTCTCTTTACAACATATTCAGTCTTATAAAAGCAACTGAAAACACTTTGATTAGCCCATTTGTATCCTAAGTGCAAGAAAATTCCCCAAGATTCAATTCAAAAATAGTTTTTAAAGGTATACCATTCAGGAAAAAAATTAATTGAAAAATGTAGTAAATATTGCAATCATTGTCTTTATTTTGCCCCAGAAATCAATGTTTAGCTCACCTCAGTAACAGTCACATCCTGAAGCTAGTAATCTATCTATCTATTTAGATAATCTATCTATCTATCTATCTAGATAGATAGATAGATAGATTTTTTTTTTTGTCAGTCATGGGGCTTGAACTCTGGGCCTGGGTGCTGTCCCTGTTCTCTTCAGTGCAAGGCAAGCTCTCTACCTCTTGAGCCACAGTGTCACTTCCGGTTTTCTAGTGGTTTATTGGAGGTCAGAGTCTCACGGACTTTTCTGTCCGGGCTGGCTTTGAATCGTGATCCTCAGATCTCAGCCTCCTGAGTAGTTAGGATTACACGCGTGAGCCACCGGCGCCCAGCTGCTAGTAATATTCTTGAAAGAGAATTTCTATATTCATTTTTGTTACTATTTGTAGAAATCTCTCTTACTCTCTCTCCATCTCTCTCCCTCAAACATAGACATATACACAGTCCTACACATATAACAAAGATTCACATGCTAATTTTTTAAGTAAACAACTTGAAATTATGAGGAAAAGATAGAGAAAATGAAGGAAATGAATATATCAATGGTCAAGAGAGCAAAGAAACAGACTGCTGTGTCTGACAGAAGTGTTTGAGGTTTATGAAGAGAAACTGCTGTTTCATAGTTGTTCTGCATGTCTTTCGGAACTTGCTCACTTACTGCCCAGTACTCCCTCTTCATTCCGCCACCAAAGACTCTCTGAGATTTTTGAGCTAAAGAATCCCCACGTGCACAGAACATGCATACACCAGGCCTCATCAGGATGTCTGAGCATCATCTCTCCAACATCGGCTTCTGCTAATTGGGCATGGCAATGGTCATAGGTAAACCAACCTGTATGGGCAAGATTCCTTGAGTTGGCTGTACAGTAGTACAAAGGGATTTCTTCTGTTCAGTCAAGAAGCATGTAGAGAGCACTGCATGCTCTTTTGTACCTTGAATAATTCATTAAGACTGGAAAAACAATGATAAACAAGATGGATCTGGTTTCTCCTATTATAGATGCTGCTCTATGGGAGGTAAACCTAAATAAAGATTTTAGGAATAGAGACATTATTTATTGTTTTTGTTATTAAATTTATATATCGTTTGCTACCTTTTAGAATGTTTTAAAAATACATTGGTATGTATCGTCACAATGAATTTGCAGTTATTATTTCTGGGGATAAGAGATACACAATTTGTGGGCTGGGAAGGTGGCTCAGTGGTAGAGCACTTGCCTTCCATGCCTGAGGTCCTGGGTTCGATTCCTCAGCACCACATAAGCAAAAGACAAAAGCCAGAAGTGGCGCTATGGCTCAAGTGGTAGAGCACTAGCCTTGAACTGAAGAGCTGAGGGACAGCGTCCAAGCCCAGAGTTCAGGCCCCACCACCGGAACCCCCCCCCAAAAAAAAGAGATGCACAATTTGGAGCAACAATGAGAGCAACAAGGTCTCTCACTGTCTCTCAAAATAAATCTTGAGTTCCTAGAATCAGGGCTGCTACATTATGGAGCAGAATCATGAGTACCACTCAGCATACCCTCACCATCTTCCCTGTGTTTGCACAACACCTCTCAATTAAAAGGCAAGTTTACACTGTAAAAGTCTTAAGAAAATGCATTAGCGTATCATTCTCCTTTGTATTCCTTCTGCTTAGTGATGTGTTTGTCATATTGTCAAAGCTCAGTAAATATGTGTGAAAGGAAGTGAATATGAAAGGAAGGGAAGGAAAGAACACTTCTCATTTTATTGGCAAACCAATGATTAAAGGAGGAAGCCAATGAATTTAGGAAAGGGTGAGCTAGGGACATGGAACTCTGATCTGGAGTAAACGCAAACGTTCCCCAAGCATATACTCAAAGTTGGTAGCAAATGTAAGAACAGTAATATGGTAAAAAGTTAATGAGAAAAGGAGGATTCACCAGATGGAATGATATATAGTAGATAAATATTGGTTGAATTGTAGATGCCAATTTTCTTGTCCTCAGACATTACTGTTCTCAGAATCAGAGTAAAAACCTGAATCTCTGTCACGGTTTTGCATATGTATGATCATGAAAATATATCCCTTCTTTGCAAAGAACATCCTCTAGGCTCTGAAGTAATCCTAAACTATGGGGCCTGAAGAACAAAAATTCTTCTCTGTGAGTGTTACTCATATGAAATTATGATTCAGTTTCCAATGAGGATC